TATTTCAAAATACATTTTACACACACACACAAAAAGGCTCAAACAGGCCCTAATATTCGACAATTTAGAACATTGTTCGATGTGCGATGTTAGTAAACTCTACAATATGATTCTTAACTTCTTAGGCCTTGAAGTTCTCATTTTGTTGACAGACATGTCATAGGAAGCTTATTAGTGTTGATAGGGACGCAATCTGTAAGTGTAATTGACATTAGAGTGCTTTCAGTCAATTTTAAAATACATTTTACACAAAAATGAGGCTCAAACAAGTCCTAATATTCGACAATTTAGAGCATTGTTCGAATGCGATGTTAGTAAACTCTACAATATGATTTTTAACTTCTTAGGCCTTGAAGTTCTCATTTTGCTGATGTACACGTCATAGGAAGCTTATTTGTGTTGATAGCGACACAATCTATAAGTGTAATAGACATTTGAATGCTTTCAGTCAATTCTTCTGCACGCCAATCTCAAATTGTTTATTCGTGATTACGACAATTGATTTGACAGCACTGAGAATGATTTACACACAATTTGTTTTCCATTAATTCCTTATTTATAGAAGAAATTCAACCGTTAGTAGACTCCATCCAACTGCAACATTTGATTTGCTCCTCACATATTTTCAATGGCAACGGTCACTTTTCAAAAGTGACGGTCATGTTTTTTCTACTTTTGCACAGAAAATGGGAAACAAACATGATTTTAAACATATTACTTCTTCTTTTAGGCACTAGGATAGGAAATTTCTTTTGACTAAACTTTCAGCTGTTCGAAAACAAGTCCCTTGCTCTGCAACTTTCACTCCTAAGAAAACAATTTTGGTTGTTGATTTATTTACCAAATTTGGTTGGAGCTGTCCAATCATTAGGACTAACAACAAATAAAATTTTATGTTTGATAAATTAAGATCTTGTTTGGTAAGATGAAAATTAAATTTTTAATAATAATTAATGAAATGCATTGTTGAAAAGTTGTGAATATCATAAACAAATATGGTCTAAATTAATTTTTGATTATAATTTAGATTAAAATCTAAATTTTAATCGTTACCAAACATGAACTAAGTATTTTTTGGTCACTCCCTTTGAGTCATTACTAAATTTAATTTTATGATGCAATACGTTATTATTATGTCATGGTTGTGCCCGAACTTTTATGCTTCGTCTATTCCTGCATGATAGAATGAACTTATAATTACAAAATCGACTTATCAACAAACATGTTTTTTTTCTTTACTTGATCGGATCAAAGAAACTTAAGATTTACCGGGTCAACGCTAAAGAAAAATGATATGGTGCAAAGTTTACGACCAAATATCCGTATGATATTACAACCAAATGTTCATTAAGATTCACGTTATAAGAGTTGTTAAAAGTCTTATAGTGACTATCAAACTATCGCAGCCTTGGCTTTTTGATTCAGACTTGGAATGTGTAAAACATGATGATGTTAAGACTCTAGTCAATGTGTGGCTTGATTAAGCCACTGATTGACAACTATTAAAACAATTTTTATTTTTTTTCAAATTCATTTTCAACTACACATTCTCACAATACAAAAAATATTTTGCACATAAACCCAAATTTTTTTCCTACTTTTTAATCACATATTCTCAAAAAATTCATTATTTCAAAACTCATTTTCTATATAAAAAAAAAAAAACTTATTTTAATGGTTGTCGGGTACTCAACTGACAATCGCATACAACAAGTTGAAATTTTACCGTTTTATTCAATCAAATATAACATGTTTTAGTTTGAAAGTTAAAATAAGCAAGAAAAACATGGATCTTGTAATTTTTTTTAAAAAAAATATGAAATAGTTAGCTATCCTTTTTGCAAATATAATATTTAAATTTATTGATATATCTATTGGAAGATTTGAAACATCATCCATTGCAACTATAACATGTCATGTTAGCTCGATTTATTCCTTGCTCATATGATTTATTGTATTAAAATTGAATCACTCTTATGAAGGAGAGTTTTTAGGCCTAGACAAATCATTATTTTTAATTTATCGTTAGTGAGCACCACCTACACTATCTAATGTTTTTTTTTAACACTAAATCATCGCTAGTTGTTAAATTATTCTTGATTTAAGTGTATCTGGTTGGATAAGTCGTGCTTTTTTTTTTTCCTATTACAAAAAGGTGCGTTTCGAAAGTACAATTGCCCAACAATTAATGCACATTTTTGTTTAGTTGGATGATAAAAATGATGCACCAATGAATTTTTCTTGCCAAATTATATCACTATTGTTACCCACGTCATTGTTTCTATTATTTTAACATGACATAGTGCCAAAATTGAAAAATTAAAAAAGAAAGATCAGATGATTTGAAACAAAAATCTATTTTGTGGAAACCAACTTCAAAAAATGAGAAAAATATTTATTTTCTATATAATAAACAACTTGCAAGATTACTAGTTCATTGAATTTGAGAGGGTTTAATATGAACTTGCTGACTGCAAGTGGCATATATGTTTACACAAAAACCAAAAACTATCATTTTGGAGATAGCGGACTGTGAAAAAGATTGAAGATATACTTGACAAATTCCACTCATTTTATAATAGAGTAATGCTATTCATCCCCACTATAGTTGAACTTCATTCTATGTGGCAATTATATGACATTAAATGATATATTCATTTAAATACAAAGTCACATGACTCATTTAATGCCATATAATTGCCACGTAGACTGGGAATGAATAACATTATTTTTTATAATATAAGCCGTAGTGGTAAAATAAGATTCACTTAATTATAATCTAAATCTGTCAATGTGCTTTTTGTGTGGTCCAAAAGATGATAACATTTATATAAGAGTGACATGATTTCTAAAGAACAAGAGGAGGAATTGGTAAACAAAAACTAACATTGACTAGTATAATCATTAATGATGTAGTTGTTCTAAATCTTCTGGTCGATAAAGCAAAGTACCAAATGGAATGGCGAAAGTGATTCATATAGATATCTGATTTCAAATTTGTTGAGAATAAGACTTGGTATGTTGTTGAATAAATAATAGAAAGTCGCAACCCGTCCTTCTGTTTCAGTATTAAGTGGTCTTCAACTTACAAAATCGAGCAAGTTAATTACCATTTTTCATGGTACTCTCACAATGCCTTGCTCCAATAACTGAAAACATCAACATCTTTGTTAATTGTTATGTGCTCCTCATAGAAATATGCAATGCTTCATATTTCAAGCATTAATCCAAGTTGAGAAGAAAAATCGAAATTTATAAAGTTGAACATAATATCGATAATGTGTTAATTTAATAGAGATTTTTGTCACCGTGACTGATTATTCAGCATACTAAACAATTGAAGACTAACTTTGTTAGGTTTACTACCAACTTGTTATTAAGGCAATAGGTTCAGGACAAATTGTAATTTTCCTTTTTTTTAGAGAGAACTGCTACATGTACAGAATTTTTGTATAGATGTGTTGATAGAAATGAGGTGACAATTTTTTCTCCCTTAACTCCACCCCATTTCTGTCAACATATCTGTAATCTAATTTTTGTGCAAGTAGCAAAATTGATTTTTTATATGGGTTAATCCATTTGTAAATAATGGTTTGTACATAATGAATTACCTCCTCTCACATAATGTACGGGGCCCGTGTGTATTTAAAAATTTCAATAATGTGGTTCACATTTTCATTGTGAGTAATATGTAAAAGATTCGGTAAAAAATTTCAATACATGTAGTATGATCCTTTTTACATGGCAAGTTGATCAGTTCAACAGATATTTTTGAACAGAACCCAGAGCTCAACTTGAAGCATCCTAAATTCCTAATAGTCTGTCAAGTTGGTCAGTTCAAAAGGTTGCTCTTAGTCTGCAGGTACAAAGAACATTTTTATTATATAT